TTATTCTTATGCTTGATGGGTTGTTCTACAATTTAATTTATGTTTGTAGGTAGGTAGACAATCTATACTTGATTTGATATTCTATGGCTTATTATTATAAATTTCATGATTTTCTAGATTGATGTGTGCTCTCATTAGACCCATTTGTTAACTAATTGATGGATTATGCCTTGTCTTGGGGGTTGTTCTACATTTAGTTTACTTGTTGGTTAGGTAGACAATTCACTCTTGCATTAGATAGTTCACACTTTTACATGCAAATTGTGTTTATGTTTATGGCCACATCTTGATTGCAACAATGTATTCCCCATTAATGGAAAACAAGTGGTTAATTACACGAGCTTTGTGGTGATTCCAACACCCTAAGTCCTCTCTTCATATCTCTCAAATCCCTATCTCTCATTAGTTTACTTTACTTGCATTTTAATTTCCTTGCATCTTAGTTTAATTAACCAATCTCTCTCTTTTACAATCTTTTGATACACTAAAGTCGAAGTAAAATTCCAACACATATGATCTCTGTGGACGATCCCTACTCGCTATACTTCATTAGTTGTAGTAGTGGTTTTTATAAATGTAAATTTGACTAGAAAGGCTTCCGAAGCCACATTCATATTTTGACCTTACAAAGCGACCTTTCGCATTAAAAAATCCGTTTTCTAAACGCATTAGAAAGGGGCTCGTCAACTTTTGGCGCCATTGCTGGGAATTAACGATTTTGTTGGAATTACACAAGACAATAGTGTTCATTTGATTACTTTTATTTTTATTTTATTTCCATTGTATATTCTTTTCTTACTCTTGATATTATTTGTTCAATTAGGTACTTGACTACAAGAGAGGCAAACTTTGGAACTTGAAGCAATCATCAGAGCTTAAAACTAACATTAAAATTTAAAGTTGCTTAAGGACCTTTGTGAGCAATTCTTGGAACCCTTGTATTTTGTGATGACCCGGTCATTTTCCTTACTTTCTTTTTTTGGGAAATTCTTTTTTTTCGTCTTTTTCCTATTTCATCCTTTAGTTGTTTTTCATTTTTCCTTGCATAACCTCACCTTTGTGCTTAGATTTGATTCCGGCTTTGCATACAATCATGATATTTAATTTCCATGATATCTACATTTTTACTTTCACAGAAAAGCATGTTAAATGTTTACTTTTCTTGTAAAGATCACAGATGCATAACTTTTGGTAATTATCCTAAACTCGAGTGGTTTTTGTGTAATTAAATAAAGTAATTATTTTTCGTCTTAGGGATCATTTTACAATTTAAATTGGAAGATATTTTCAAAAAGACCTTTTTGTAATTTCTGAAAAAGTGTGACAAGTGTCACACTCTCATTAGTCCACTTGTTAACAATTGTGTGGAAACATTTTGATGCCTTGGATGATGACATGTGGAGGGTGGAGATTCACCCACTTGTTGGCCTAGGATTGATGCACTTGTTGGCTTGGGTGGTTAACAAGTGTAGGCTTGAGATTAAGCCTAGGAATGAACCATAGATTTGTGACAAGTGTAGGACTCACCTTTAGTCTTGCAAGTATGTGTGTGAGAGGTAGTGCAAGAGCACCTAGTGAGTGGAGAATCCCACCATTTTAACTTAGGGTTTTCACATTTAATTCATTCATCTTTTTCCTCTCAAGAAGACTAAGCTTGGTTTAAAGCTTTAGAATTCATTTTGGCCTCCTTCCACTCACCTTAGACTTATAAGCTTGGAACACTTTATCTTCCTCTCACTCTCCTCTATAAAACTCTATTTAGTTTTCCATTTTAAAGCTTGGTTGCCTTGGATTATAGAGATTTTATTCTTTATTAAGGTAGGGGGTGTTATAATTTACTTTCCAAGTGATTTAATTGTTCTTGTAATGATATGCAAGTTGTATGCATGTCCTATTTTAATTTAAGAAATAAATGACTAATGGTAGCTTGCATATAATTCTCTTTAGACTTGGTATATGGCATGGCCATGACTTGAATCTTGTTGTATATTAATTTGGCAAGATTTAAATGAGTTTTTAAATATAGAGAATTAATTAATTTAAGTTGCATTAAATTCTCCTTAATTGTACCATGCTTGTATTCCAATTTTGACTTGATATATGGCATGGCCATGACTTAGTTCTTGTCATATATTCATTTGGGATTATTTGAATAACTCTTGATATCTAGAGGAAATTAATTAATTAGTTTAATTATTTTCCATTTCATTATTCTAATGATTTAGTCATTAAATTCATGGAGCTTTTGTGTTTGTAACATATATCTTGACTTGTTGCTCAACTTGTTGATTTTGGAAACTTGGGATATTATCAAGAACTTGACTTGGCTAGGACTTGGTTCTAGTAAGGGAGATAGAGAGCTCCTTGCACTATAGTGCGCACTAGGGGAAGGTACCCATGGGTTAATAGTCCTAAAGTGATCCTAAGAGTACGGTTTTAATCCGGGCAATATCCAAGTATCCACTTCAGTTTGATTTTGCATTTAAATTCCAAGTTGTTAACTTTGTGAATTTGCATCTCATTATGCTATGTTGAAAGTTTTAATGTCACTTTAATAGCATGGATTGAATTATATTAAATTGCAAACTTTGTAATAAGTTAAACTTATGCATGCTTATTCCCTACGAGTAAACTTGTTTACTCACCCCGAAGTTACCGGGTGTTTTTCAGGTAAAGAAGCAATATTATGGGTTGCACAACAATCTTAGACTCGCTAGACTACTTGGAGTGTTTTTGCTATGTTAGAATATGCACTTAGTAGCATATCACACTTCATTTTACTTATTACGACAAAATATGTATTTGTTGTTCTAACTATGCAATGTGCACTTAAGTGCACCTTTTGATACTCTATGAATATGTTTGTAATGAGGCCAAGGGCTAAACATGTTTACTTTAGCACTTGTATTCATTTGGTGAAATAGTTTGCTTTAAAAGCATATTTTAACCAACCTTGGAGGTTTAGCATATGAGATTCATGTAATTGACATGTACGAGGCCATAAGCCAATGTTTTGCATTCAATTATTCATATTAAAATTGTTGGCATGTTCACATACTTAAATCCCATTAAAAATCAGTTTTAAACTTTCATTTTTGAACCAATCCATGAGAGAAATTGAAGCATGGGTTGAACCTTAGCACATTTGGCATATAGCAGGTCTTACAACAGCTTTTCGAGGTGTTTCGGTCGTCCAAAACTCTATTTCGGTCGACCAATGGCTTTTTGTAAACTCATTGCACAGTAAAAACTCTTTTCTAGTAGCCTTTTTCACTGTTCAGAACCATTTTGGTCGACCAATGGCCTATTTCAGTCAACCAATGGTCCATTTTGGTCTACTGAAGTAACCACACCTTAAAAATCAAGTTTTCAGCAAATTTATGTCTAGTTCGTTCGACCGAAACTCTAGTTTGGTCGACCGAAACTCCACTTATGCACCTACCTTGCAGATTAGGTTTTAGCACTGAAATTCCAGCTTCAAAAGGTCATAACTCCTTCATTCCTAACCCAAATGGGGTAATTCCTGAGCCTATACTCATAGATTTTGAGTCTACTTTCTAATGGTATCAATTCCATCCTCAGATTCAAAACACAATGGGAGTTATTCAGGTTTTAGTGAGAGGGTGTCTGTTTTCACTTAAACCGAAAAAAGGGCGTTTTGTGGGATTCTTGTTCAAGGTTCCTAAGACCTCTTGGAGTGTTGTGAAATGATTAGATTAGGTTATATTCACCTTGTTTGACTTGTTTAGAGTCAATTTTCTCCTTTTAATTGTGAATTGACCATTTTACCCTTAATTAACGGATTTAGCCTATTTTGACTCTCATTTGCTCATTCGCTTTTCTTGAGTTCCGTGACTTCATAGAATGTCACATTGGTGTCTTAGAGATGATTTATATCTCAAAGGACTATGGCTTCATCTTTTACTTCCGCATCTGGATTCATTAACGGGTTAACTTTCGGGTCATCACTGACGTACTAGGTTGAATAAAACCTGGGTCGTTACAAGTGGTATCAGAGCTCCTAGGTTCAAAAACCTTAGGACGAAAGGTTTTGGGTGCATATCATGCTTTTGTTGGTGTACTTTGATTTATTCATATGCCTTGATAACATGTTTTAGTATTATAATATGTTTACTTGCTTAGTTTGATAACATGTCTATGTGCTTACATGTTGAAGTACCTAGAGGATTTCAGTATCTGTTTAGCACGTTGTATATGCTTACCTGCTTTAGCATGACTGTATGTTACATGCATTGACATGCTTCTTGTTTCGTGCATTCATAGCGTGAGTTGCATTCGGTCATACTAACTTGTGTTATTGTTGACCTCCTTCCTTTCGTGCATTTAGCATCATGGTCTTGACTCGCGGAGAGTCTTCTCGTCATAACGGAGTGGATGAACAAGTTGAGGACACCGGGCTCACACAGGGTCCAGGGAGGCCCAGGGTTTGACCTCATGGTGTGGATCTTAATCCACCACGAGCACCGACTTATAAGGAGCAGATTGCATAGGGAGTGGCTCTGGGGATGTTAGAGTCCATTTAGCAGATGTTTCGTCAACATATTACAAGGATGCAGATTCCGATACCGGCACCAGCACCGGCACCAGTTGCTAATGAGGCATTGGATTACTTTATAAAGTTACAAAGCGTTAAGATCGACCAGTTTGTAGGGAGTATGGATCCACTTACTTTAGAGACATGGCTAGATCTCATGGTATGCAAGCTTGATAGCATGGCAGTGCCTACAGACCGATTTAGGATCTCCTTGACAGCCTCTATGTTTATGGGAGATGCCGATATCTGGTAGAGGTCTATAACTAATATCGACAATGTGGAGGTGATAACTTGGGGGGAGTTTAGGACATTGTTCTTCGAGCGCTTCTTTCCTAGGGCGATGAGGTGGGAGATGAGGATATAATTCACAAGTTTTTATTAGGACACTATGAGTGTTATTGAGTATGAGACACGATTTATTTCTCTTTCTCGTTATGCCGAGGACATGGTGGCGACAGATGAGGCTAGGGCAGTGAAATTTCAGGATGGACTACATCTTGACATTAGGCCACGGGTCTCAATTCTTGATTTGAGGACCTACAGAGAGGTGGTCCAGAGGGCAATACTAGCTGAGGCAGAGGAACAAGATCAGTTATAGATCAGGGGTTTACATAAACAGCCTCGCAGCGACACTCTGTCATCTTCCGGGAATCAGTGGAAGAAGGCTAAGGCCGAGGACAGTTCATGCACTCAGGGATAGTCACAGCAGGCTTGGTCTGCATCTACAGTTCTAGTATCGTCGGGGTCAGCCTGAGGAGTGATTTGTCACCATTGTCAGTAGCCAGGGCATATCAAGCCTCGCTGCCCGCAGCTTCAGCCACAAACCAGTTAATCACAGGCTAGTAAGCCTATAGCTTCGACAAAGGGGTTTCAGGGGACTTGCAACTACTGCAAGCAGCTTGGTCACATGAGGAAAGATTGCCCTCATCCACGAAGCAGAGCATAGGGTGGCACTGGTTCACAGGCCACACCAGCATAATCTGTAGTTGCTCAGTCAGGTTTTAGGGTGCCACAGGCACCACAGACAGTGGCGCCACCAGTTAGTTCTTATCAGGGACGAGCTTACGCATTACCACAGGCCGATACCTCCGTAGAGACTTCTACAGTTTGAGGTATCTTTCCAATTTTCAATTCTTGGGCTAGAGTCCTTAATGACACAGGTGCATCACATTCATTTATATCTGCTTCATTTGCACATTCATTGGGTCTGGAGGTCACACAGCGGGATGGTTTCCTTTATGTTGACATACCAGCTGGGGGTCCAGTGTTTTTGGACAATGTTTGTCGGGGTTGCGCTATTGAGATAACTAGGCGGACTTTAGAGTTTGATTTCATCATTTTTAACATGACAAGCTTTGACATCATTCTCGGGATGAACTAGTTGTCTTTCTTTCGAGCCACGATCGATTGCTTTCGCGGGTGAGTGTCTGTTTGCACTCCCAAGGGAGATTGTTTTCACTTCGTGGGAGATCGGAGCGATTCCCACTCGATGATGATTTTCAGCATCGGTGACTAGAGTCGCCATAGGTCCTACTTGGCTAGCCTATTAGCCGACGAGGATAGCATCGATCGCGGTTATCCAGCAATTGTTGTGGAGTTTCTGGATGTCTTTTCAGAGGAGTTGACCGAGCTTCCTCCTCTTCGTGAAGTTGTCTTTGCCATCGACGTTATTCCCGGTACTGCACCGATCTCTATGGCACTGTACCGTATGGCACCGGCAGAGCTTGATGAGCTAAAAGGTCAATTGGATGATTTGAAAGCTAAAGGCTTTATTCGTCCTAGTGCTTCACCTTAGGAAGCACCGTTTTTTTTTTTTTTTGCGAAGAAGAAGGATGGGTCTTTGAGACTTTGCATCAATTATCGCAAGCTGAACCACATCACAATCAAAAACAGGTATCCTTTGCCTAGGATTGATGACTTGTTTGATCAGTTGAAGGGAGCCACTTGTTTTTCGAAGATTGATTTAAGATTGGGTTACTATCAGTTGAGGGTTAAGGATGAGGATGTATCCAAGACCGCTTTCCGCATATGGTATGGCCAGTATGAGTTTCTAGTGATGCCATTTGGTTTGACCAATACTCCAGCAGATTTTATGGACTTAATGAACCATGTATTTAGTAACCATCTTGATCAGTTCGTTGTGGTTTTTGTTGATGACATTCTCATATACTCAACTTTGGTAGAGGAGCATGAGTATCATTTAAGGACAGTATTACAGATCCTTAGGGATAATCAGTTGTATGACAAGTTCGAGAAATCTGAATTTTGACTACCAGAAGTGAAGTTCCTTGGACATGTTGTGTCAGGGGGCGGTGTTGCAGTAGATCCGTCAAAGATCGAATCGGTGATGGATTGGGAACGTCCGAAGACAATGTTTGAGATTTGAAGTTTTCTTAGCCTAGCTGGCTATTATAGGAGATTTGTTCTAGATTTCTCTCGTTTAGAAGCACCTATGACTCGACTTACCCGCAAGGGGGTTAAGTTCGCATGGAGCAAGGCATGTGAGTTTGCTTTTCAAGAGTTGAAGGTCAGGTTGACATCAGCTCCAGTGTTGATCATTCCTGAACTTATTTTGGGTTATGTGATCTTCTGTGATGCTTTACGGGAATGTTTGAATTGTGTCTTGATGCAGACAGCGGGTGGTTGCTTACGAGTCTCGACAGTTGAAGACTCACGAGTTGAATTATCCGATACATGATTTAGAGTTAGCAACAGTAATCTTTGCCCTGAAGGGGTGGAGACACTATTTGTATGGGGAGAAGTTTGAGGTTTTCTCTGACCACAAGAGTCTCAAGTATCTCTTCTCTCAAAAGGATTTGAACTTGAGACAACGCAGATGGGTTGAGTTCATGGAGGACTATGACTTTGAGTTACAGTACCATCCGAGTAAGGGCAATGTGGTGGCTGACGCATTAAGTTGGAAGTCACGGGGGACTCTTGCTGGCATTTCCATTCATAGATGGATGATGTTAGAAGAAATTGTAAACCTTGGTTTACAGTCTTATGAGGACGTTTCATCGGCTATTTTGTTTAGCCTTGTGGCTCAACCGGCTCTTATTAGTAGAGTTATTGAGGCATAGTTGGAGGATGGGGAGATGAAGGCTATCCATGTTCGGATTTTAGAAGGTGAGAATGTAGAGGGTTGGACCTTACATTTAGACGATGGTCTTAGGTACAAGGGGATGATGTTTGTTCTTTTGCCTTGTCGTGAAGACGTTCTTAGAGAGTTTCACCACTCTCGGCTCTCAGTTTATCCTGGTGGTACGAAGATGTATCACAATCTGTGGCAACAGTTTTGGTGGCAGGGCATGAAACAAGATGTTTCACAGTTTGTGGCTCGATGCCTTACTTATCAGCAAGTGAAGGCAGAGCATTAGCGACCGGCGGGATTGTTGCAACCATTACCAGTAGCTGAGTGGAAATGGGAGCATATCACTATGGATTTCGTAACGGGACTTTCGAGGTCTCAGGCAGGGAATGATGCCTTTTGGGTCATAGTTGACAGGTTGACTAAGATGACTCACTTCTTGCCCTTGGCAGTGACAGACAGTGCAGAGAGACTGAGCGGACTGTATGTGAGACAGATTGTCAAACTTCACGGGGTTCTTGTATCCATTGTTTCATATAGGGATCCGCGGTTCACATCTCATTTTTGGCAAAGTTTTCAGGAGGCTCTTGACACGGGGCTTCATTTTAGCACGGCATTCCATCCTTAGACTGATGGTCAGTCAGAATGTACCATTCAAGTATTGGAGGATATGTTATGGGCTTGTATCTTGGATTTCGGTGGTAGTTGGGAGGACTACTTACCTTTGGTTGAGTTTTCCTACAACAACAATTACCAGACCAGTAATGGTATGGCACCTTTTGAGGCATTGTATGGCAGGCCTTGCAGATTTCTAGTTTGTTGGACCGAAGTCGGTGATACCGTTGCCTTAGGTCCCGACATTATCATCGAGACTACAGAGAAAATCAAGTTGATTCGGCAGTGGTTGGTAACTGCACAGAGCAGACAGCAGAGTTACGCAGACAGGAGGAGACGATCCTTATCTTTTGAGGTAGGAGACCATGTCTTTCTTAAGATTTCTCCGCGCAAGGGACTTCTGAGATTTCACCAGACTGGCAAGTTGTCTCCTAGATTCATTGGACCATTTGAGATATTGGAGCGCGTCGGTGAAGTTGATTATCGTTTGGCACTGCCGCTAGACTTGGATAGGGTTCATGACGTCTTTCATGTTTTTATGCTGAGGAAGTACGATCCGAATCCATCATATGTTTTACGATGGACCGATGTGGTTATTGATGAGGACGTGACCTACGAGGAAGGTCAAGTCCAGATTCTTGATTCACGGGAACAGGTTTTGTGACCCAAGACCATTCCATTGGTTAAGGTCTTGTGGAGACACCACAGCGTTGAGGAGGCTACCTGGGACCTCAAATAGGAGGTTCGCTCTCGGTATTCCCATTTGTTCTCTCTTTCAAGTACGACTCGATTTCGGGGACAAAATCCTTTTCAAGGAGGGTAGGTTGTGATGACCCGATCATTTTCCTTCCTTTCTTTTTTTGGGAAATTCTTTTTCCATCTTTTCCCTATTTTATCCTTTAGTCGTTTTTCATTTTTCCTTGCATAACCTCACTTTTTGTGCTCGGATTTGATTCCGGCTTTGCATACAACCATGATATTTAATTTCCAGGATATCTACATTTTTACTTTTGTAGAAAAGCATGTTAAATGTTTACTTTTCTTGTAAAGGGCACGGATGCATAACTTTCGGTAATTATCCTAAACTTGAGGGGTTTTGTGTAATTAAACAAAGTAATTCTTTTTTGTCTTAGGAACCATTTTATAATTTAAAATTGGAAGATATTTTTAAAAGTGACCTTTTTGCAATTTTCGAAAAGTGTGATAAGTGTCACACTCTCATTGGTCCACCTGTCGACAATTGTGTGGAAACACTTTGATGCCTTGGATGATGACATGTGGAGGGTGGAGATTCACCCACTTGTTGGCCTAGGATTGGTGCACTTGTTGGCTTGGATGGTTGACAAGTGTAGGCTTGAGATTAAGCCTAGGAATGAGCCAAAGATTTATGACAAGTATGGGACTTACCTTTAGTCTTGCAAGTGTGTGTGTGAGAGGTAGTACAAGAGCACATAGTGAGTGGAGAATCCCACCATTTTAACTTAGGATTTTCACATTTAATTCATTCATCTTTTTCCTCTCAAGAACCCTAACCTAGTCACCATTGAAGACTAAGCTTGGTTTAAAGCTTGAGAATTCATTTTGGCCTCCTTCCACTTACCTTAGACTTATTAGCTTGGAACAGTTTATCTTCCTCTCACTCTCCTCTATAAAACCCCTTTTTGGTTTTCCAATTTAAAACTTGGTTGCCTTGGATTATAGAGATTCTATTCTCTATTAAGGTAGGGGGTGTTATAATTTATTTTCCAAGTGATTTAATTGTTCTTGTAATGATATATAAGTTGTATGCATGTCCTATGTTAATTTAAGAAATAAATGACTAATGGTAGCTTGCATATAATTCACTTTAGACTTGGTATATGGCATGGCCATGACTTGCATCTTGTTGTATATTAATTTGGCATGATTTAAATGAGTTTTTAAATCTAGAGAATTAATTAATTTAAGTTGGATTAAATTCTCCATAATTGTACCATGCTTGTATTCCAATTTTGACTTGATATATGGCATGGCCATGACATAGTTCTTGTCATATACTCATTTGGGATTATTTGAATAACTCTTGATATCTAGAGGAAATTAATTAATTAGTTTAATTAATTTCCATTTCATTGTTCTAATGATTTAGTCATTAAATTCATGGAGCTTTTGTGTTTGTAACATATATCATGACTTATTGCTCAACTTGTTGGATAATTGGGATATTATCAAGAACTTGACTTGGCTAGGACTTGTTTCTAGTACAGGAGATAGAGAGCTCCCTACACTATAGTGCGCACTAGGGGAAGGTACCCATGGGTTAATAGCCCTAAAGTGATCCTAAAAGTACGGTTTTAATCCGCGCAATATCCAAGTTTCCACTTTGGTTTGATTTTGCATTTAAATTCTAAGTTGTTAACTTTATGAATTTGCATCTCATTATGCTATGCTGAAAGTTTTAATGTCACTTTAATAGCATGGATTGAATTATATTAAATTGCAAACTTTGTAATAAGTTAAACTTATGCATGCTCATTCCCTACGAGTAAACTTGTTTACTTACCCCGAAGTTACCGAGTGTTTTTCAGGTAAGGAAGCAATATTGTGGGATGCACAACAATCTTAGACTTGCTAGATGTCACAGGGCTAAATTACACCACGAATTTTTGCCTCTGCAATGGCACATGGGGCCACCAAGTCTCAGCCAACACAACAACACAATACACACAATATAGAAATATAAAGAAGGCACACACAGTTTACAGGGACAAGCCCCAACCTTTGCTCATATTAAACATATTACAAAGGAACATGAGTTCGTACAAGGAACAACCAAGGCTCACACCCTCTTCTCTGTTCCCTCTACAAAGCCCACCTTAGCATTATATAGGCCACTCTCAAAACCGCCCATAACTGCCCACTAAGATGATGGATGACACCCCCATCCACCTAGGGTCGTGCTGGCACCCTCTAAATGAGCCAGCACTATAATGCAGTTGACAAGCCCAACTGCTAGACTTGTTGGCATGTTCTGCTCATGCCACATAACCACAAGAAGTTAGATTCTGCATGGTGGAGGAAACCACCCTTAACCGCCTGTGTGTTGGTCCTCTCAGAATTGTGCCACATGTTTGGGAGGTTACTCAGCACTCCCCCACTTCCCATGATGAGTGGGAAGTGCTAGTAACTTCCCCCAACCAACCGAGCCCACTAAGCCACCACCTCTTGTAACCGCAAGCCATGACTTTGTGTTATCCATGCTCTAGCCACATCTGAGTCAACCTTGTGAACCTAGCCCAAGTCGACCAATCTGCACCCACATATATATGTCTTTGAGTGCACGGCGTGCCAAGCCATGCACGCCCGTGCGCACGCTCGGGTGCACACCAAAGTGCACGCCGGCGCACACACTAGTGCCCTTCTTTGCGCGCAATGTTCGTACCCTCATGCGCCCGTGGCTGCACTCCCACCTGGACGCCCATGTGCACGCCGAGCTAGACGCTCGCGCACACTAGGTTGGACGCCTACCCGTGCGCCAACCTGCACGCCCGCACGCACGCCGCTGCACTCCAGCGCGCGTGTCGGTG